TATGTAATGTTTTCGTAAAAATACTAATGTCCGATATGAATCCACTGAAATTAAATGAGTTGTAATGTTCGAACTTTGTAAATGCTCCTGGTCAAATATCTGAAGTTTTACTATTGATAAGCATTATAATAATCACAATTATAGTTTTCAGAGTTTATAGCACGCTTTATTTATATCAATCTTGTTGGCAAATATTATAAACTGACTATATATATATATATATATATCGGCTTTTATTTAACTACTAAATTTAAAGTATCATTTAGCTCGGTTTCAGACCATTTGAAATTCTAATACGTAACAGTATGCATATTGTACCAAATAATGATTGCCTAATTAAGGAGAATAGTGATGTGATGGATAAAAACAAAATTCGTTTTCTATAATCTTACGGTGTATGGACTAAAAACTAGAAAGAGTTTTCAAACAACAATTTACTTGTATACTTGCTTAGGTAGATGGAGCTGCTGGTCTTCAGATTGTTTTGTTTGTTTTTGAATTTCGCACAAAGCTACACGAGGGCTGTCTGCGCTAGCCGCCCTTAATTTAGCAGTGAAAGACTAGAGGGAAGGCAGCTAGTCATCACCACCCATCGCCAACTCTTGGGCTACTATTTTTACCGACGAATAGTGGATTGACCGTCTCATTATAACGCTCCCACGGGGATTCGAACCCGCGACCCTCAGAAGCTACAGTAACTTTTCGAGTGCTTTTATATTTAAAAAATGTTGCATTTGCATAGCATGTCAAATGTCATATGGAAGGTTTAAAAAGAGTAAGTAGTCAGTTTACTTGGCATACAAACACTATTAGCTACATTAAAGGTAAAAGAACAATAGTGAACTATTCATTGGATGCGTCTTAAATTTCTTATGATGATATTTCATGATATTTCGTTATGATGATGACGTAACTACAATGGTATCCCCCTTCCACCCACACACACGCAAAGGATAATCCTCAATGACCATTTTAACGTTGTGAAAACATAAGTTGGATTATGTACTCAGCCTACTTGGGACCAGCTGATTAATTCTTCAAACAACGATAATTTATGGTCTATTCATTTTAGATTTTACTTTTGAATTTTATTTATTTATTTATTAACATTTGAGAAAGTCGTGACTGTTGATTGTATTTAAATAGTAAATGGGAACTTGCACTAAACCATTTCATTTGAAATAGTGCTATTTTTCATGCCAGTGCGTTGATAAGACAAATGATGATGGTTAGTTTAAGGTTATTACAGCTACAATGACACGAGTAGATCTCAGAATGAAGTGGGAAAGCGAAACAGAATTATTCAGTCGTAGACAATAGGATAGTCAGAGTTATGGAGGCCCTGAATATATGTACGAAAAATAAACTTTTCCATTTCTAGGAATCAAAGAGTAATTACTCAAAAATTGATTTTCGTTGACTTATTTCTGATAAAAATTATATTTACAGTATTAGTTTATGAAAGGTTAAGTTATTTGTATAGGAATTGTAGTTATGGCAGTAATCTTTCAAGTTTAGTGCAGTGCATTTGGGCTAATAACAAATGTTACTGTTATCATAGTACACCAAATTATTATAAAAGATACATTAGTATTCATAGGGTAGCATAACCTGGCTAATAGCAACTTTAGTACTATTCATAGGGTAGCATAATCTGGCTAATAGCAACTTTAGTACTATTCATAGGGTAGCATAATCTGGCTAATAGCAACTTTAGTACTATTCATATGGTAGCATAATCTGCTAATAACAACTTTAGTACTATTCATATGGTAGCATAATCTGGCTAATAGCAACTTTAGTGCTATTCATAAGGTAGCATAATCTGGCTAATAGCAACTTTAGTACTATTCATATGGTAGCATAATCTGGCTAATAGCAACTTTAGTACTATTCCTATTCTTATAGATGATTTTGCCTACTAGGATTATTGGTACTATTCAGAGTGCAACAATTTGAACTAATAACGACGTCGCCACTATTAATATTATAGTTTATTTGAACTAATAACAACAACATTATTAATACGATTTATAGTGTAACATATGGCGAGTAATAGCAATGTCAGAACATTTAATAATTTATTACGACATCAGAAGTATTCATTTTTTGAATAATAGTATCGTTAGTATCAATAACAGTATATCATATTTTGACTAATAGCATCATTCGTTCTATCTACATTATAGTTTACTTTGGCTAAGAGCAACATTAGTACTATTCATAATATAGCATTTTTGTTTATTACCAATATTGATACTGATCACATTAAACTTTAACTAAAACCAAGTGCATTAAATATGTTTCATTATTTGGTAAATAGTAATATTGCAACTTTACGTATTGAACCTTATTCTAATTAGTAGCTACATTAGTATTATTCATATACAATATTTTAACTAATAGCATCATTATTGTGTCTCGTATCTTAATTTATTCGGACTAATACATGACTAATATTACTCAGAGATACAGTTTCTTTGATTTTAACATTAGTATACTGTTATTCATACTGTAAAATTTTCTTATTAATAGCAGTATTATTAATATTCACAATGTAGCATATTCTGACCACCAGTAATCATAGTAGTGTTTATAGAGTTGCATATTCTAGCCAAAGGAAACAATAGTGCGGTTCATAATGTAGCCTGTTTTGACTAATAGCAACATTAATAATTTCATATTATAGTTTTGTTTTGGCTAATAGCAACATTACTACTATTCATATTATAGTTTTGTTTTGGCTAATAGCAACATTACTAGTATTCATATTATAGTTTTGTTTTGAATAATAGCAACATTAGTAGTATAATTAGGCTGTACCATGCTTTGGCGAATTTTACTATTACTGTTCATATTATAACTTATTTTTATTAATGCATTATTAGAACTACAAATACAGCTTACATTAATTAATTGCATCATTGGTACCATTCCTATTAAAGTTGACTGACAATTATATTACTCTTCATGTCATATTTAGTTTGCAGTAATAGTAACACTAACCGTATTTTTATATTTATATTTGAATAATACAGCACTATTGCTAGTTATATTATAATTTACTTAGGCTATTAACAACATTAGCAGCTCCATGGAAACTCGGATTCACAATCTAGCCAGTTAAACTTTAAGCTATGACCTGCCGAGCAATATTAACTCTATTTATAGGGTAACATATTCTGACTAATATTATTAAAACCTTCACACAACTGTCTAAAAACATAAATGAAATTAAGTACGCACAGACATACACATGAACTAGAATCTTCAAAACCTTCACATAACTGTTTAGAAATTAAGATAATTAAAAGCTGCATAGATCTACCCATGAGTTAGAAACTTTAAAACCTTCACATAACTGTTTAGAAATTAAGATAATTAAAAGCTGCATAGATCTACCCATGAGTTAGAAACTTTAAAACCTTCACATAACTGTTTAGAAATTAAGATAATTAAAAGCTGCATAAATCTACCCATGAGTTATAAACTTTAAAACCCACACAGATGTACCCAGGAATTGTAATTTTTAAAATGTACATATATTCTTGAGGTATCACATCTTTTTAGCTCCATACAAAGATACCTTAGACTTTTTAACTTTATATAGTTCAGGCTTTTTAGCAGTCATACCTTTTCTTTTGAACCCTTCACTGATCTACCCATGAATAAAATATCCAAGATCCACATTTTTTTCTTTTTAGCTTTCATTCCTGTTGAAATCTATACAAATCTAATTTTGACTTTGATCTTGTCTTCTAGTTATCGTTATGCGCTTCACCCATATCTAACGTCAAATTATCTTACTATTTGAACTTCATAAATATCTGGATTTTTAGCTGTCATTCCTTTTGAACTCCACACAGTTTTCCCATGAATTAAAATAAATAAAATGCTCACATATTTGCGTTCAAGCTTATGTATTTAAAATATAAATAAATCTGCCTTTAACTAAAAACATATCCCATGAATAAGAATATTAAAACTTCGCACACGTTTACCTATATTCGAGATATAACCCCCTTACAGCTCCACACAGAGCTGCCTCTGAGATATTATATCTACAGAGATCTATCTATCTATCTGTCTATTCTAAGCTTATATCTAAGAATCACCATCTCTGCCTCATTATTGATTGTATCCACGAAACGCGCACGCCTAATACAGCAACGTGAAGATTACATTTATTACAGTGCTGCTTCTATGGATAAAACTAATTATTCGCAGACCGATTTCTTTCAAAACGTGACTCAGTTCGACTAGTCGTATACAAATGTTACGTGCTATAATCTTATGATACGAAGGTATTTTAGAGTATGCATAACAGTATCTATCTCTTCTAAGAAATCCCACCGCAGTTACTGGCCTGGTTCTAGACAGACAGACAGATGGATACTCACAAGCACATGAAGCGATGGTAGCGCAGGATGCTCTATTGAGCCATGGAGACAAGCTGCTTTTCAGGTTTAACAATTACAGCGCATGCGCGCGTTAACGGGTTTCGTGTCGTTTTGTTTTGAGTGACTTGCCACTGAGAGAGAGAGAGAGAGAGAACTCAAACATTGAGTAGCGCTTTGGTTTTTATCCAAGATGTGAGCATCTATGTGATACTGTTAATTCAGTATTTTCAGTCTGAATTCGCTTTTAGTAAACACATTTATAATTCTCACTAAAATCAAAAAAATTATAATACGTAACTGGTCAACAAATGAGTTGCAGGAAAGCTAGATAAAAGTAAAATTTCTTATCTAATGTTTCTTTTCTATTTCCTCACTTTGTTTGCAGTTCCGTGTGTCGCTTACCCAGTGGAGTTTCGAAATAAGTTTCAATCCTTGGACTGCGATGCTACAATCCGCACAAGGCTCCTGGCAACATACGTTGATGTAAGTAAGCCTAGCTGAGAGTACCGGCGTAATGAGTTCGAGCGGCAGCGCAGCGACGAAAACGGACTTGATGCCGACCCTCGATCCGGACGAAGAATGCATGAAGGAGAGAAAATGGTGGTGTTTTTTATTGTCAAGTATTTTCACTTTTCTCTCAGGACTAATCATTATCCTGCTCTGGCGAGCTTTTGCCTTTGTTTGTTGCCGCAGGGAAAGCTCAACATACAGCCAAAGCCAAAGTGTAGTTAAACAGCAGCCGAAAAGAGACCCCCATCATAAGGGAGACAAAGAGAACGAGGCCACAGAGATTGGCTACATGACAGAGGCGAAGGACTGGGCTGGAGAACTGATATCAGGACAGAGTACGACTGGCAGGATTTTGGTAAGTCAAAACGTGCTGTCTTTTTTTTTGTTGTTGTTTTGTTTTTTGTTAATGATGACGATTGTCCTCATCACGTTTCAGTTAATACAAGTCACAGCAGCCATATATTTTGGATTTCAGAAAGTTCTTAAACTAAAAATAGTTTTAGAAAACGTTATAGTTGTAATATTGTCTTACATAAAGTTATAGATGTGAATATCATAAATAGGTAACTACAAATACTTAAATCTATTAAAAAAAGAGCATATAGATGTCAGTTTACAGTAACATTAGCTCTTAGTTAACTGTTAACAGCAATAATAAATCTCAAGCACTTCTGTTTTAGAAATATCTAAGTAGTAACTGCTCCATACAGACGTTAGTTTACATAGTTTAACAAGCAGTTAATGTAAACAACAATCGTAAGTCCTAAGCATTCACATTTAACAGTACTTTTAAGAATAATTACTTCATATAGATGTTGATTTACAGTACCGTTAGCCTGTAGTTTAAAGTGTAAATAACAGCAGTAAATTCCAGGCATTTACATTTTACACTAATAACGGTTGCTTGCAGTTAAGCTGTAAACAAAAATTACAATTCCATGCATTTATATTTTACAGTATTTTTCCAGCTGTAGAATTAATATTATGCAATAGACGATATCTGTTCTGCTAGTAACAGAAAACTCAGTAAAATCGATGGCTATAAAAATGGTGTATTCATAAGATGGAAAGGTAGTTTTAGTAACACCGAAGTTTAAAGAAGGTAAAACTTATATAACTGTTTCATCATAACTCTGGAAATGTTAAACCAATGATAGAAAGCAGTCATATTGTGCAAAGCTGTCACATTGTCAATGCTGTTATGCAGTGCAATACACATTGAACAACGTTGTCGTAAACAATATGAGATCATATCTATTCTTGTTATCATGGCCGGATTTAACCCCTTTCAGGCTCTATGCAATACTATGATGCTGGAGGCCTCCTTCCTAGTTTGATTCGAAATTGAGGTTCCCTTCTCTGGAGCTCGAGGCCCCCATGCAATTACGTGGGTTACACCCTCTTTAAATAAGGCACTGCTTCTTAGAAATGAACATAAAACATAAATTAAAATAATTTACAAAAAAATGAGTGAGAGCATTATTTACTAAACCATTTTCAACTAGAAAAGTGTTTGTAATAACAAAGTTCCCTAATTTAAAACTAATAATTAAAAAGTTATAAATGTTTTATGATGATTAATTTTGTATTCAGGTTATTATTAAGAACTGTACTGTACGATATTACGATGCTACACATATATTATTTGATAATTGTATTATATGATATAACCAGTTGAATTGTTATCTTTATATTACACTATATAAAGGTTATATATATACTGTTTAATAATTATGTAACATGATGTAACAGTTCATTTACATAATTAGCGAAAATATCTAAATGGCTATTTTAATGCATTGGGTTTGTTATAATGAAACATAACTAAAACATTCATAAATTAAAAGTAACAACAAAAATGACCTTGTCTTACAAAGGTTGTACAATCAGTAGCTTAACGGCAGTGCAGAGACAACAGCTTGCAAGAATAAAAGGCCGTACTTTAGCTATAGGTTTAGTTTAGGCGTAAATACTAAGTTATTTAAAGATGGTGACCAATCACTGAAATCTACTTTAAATCAGATAATATTTGATGTTCTTAGTGTCAATTTCAAGTGTGCCTGTATTATTTATGATAAGCGCTCATCTTAATGGTGACTTAAGTAATCGTATAACACTTAATATTAAATATTTTTGTTTACGCTAGGGGTGTGTGTATTCATAGTTACCTACGTTGATTACGTTCTTCTATTGTTAACATGAAAAAGACTTGATCCTTATCTATCAACTTTAGAAAGATCTATTGAGATCAGGTATATTTGTGATGGAGATCAACTCCTCTTCTTTTGTTAACAATAAATTAGTCTAGATATCACATATAATTTGATAAATTTATTGAATTTGATCACATTATAGATCAGAAGTTTCTTTATAAAGGTTTATAATAATGTTTATTAAAGAAGATAAGAAAAATATTATATTTTTGAGCTCCGATTTATTTTTTTTTGTTACAAAAATAATACTGATTAAGATATCATGCCTCTAGAGCAGTGGTTCCCAACCTTTTGTGGCCTTCGCAACCCTCCTTTCAAAAGTGTGCATTAGACATTTGGAGGAAACGGACCTTGTATAGGCCTCTTCCGCACCCCACTCCCCAGGGGGGTGCCAACACCCCTGGTTGGGAACCCTTGCTCTAGAGACTAGAGTGTAAAAAAGAAATATAATATTGGACCTTACTGTATTTTAAATATATACGAAGCTGTTACTTGGATTACTTTGAATTGAATTGAATGCGTGAGTAAGAAACACTAACAGCTGAGGTAACATATTTTATAAGTATAGGTATATATTTAACCGGTATAAGAACTGTTTTATCCAGTAGTTCTTCTCCTGTACAATTTGTTACAATGCTATTCTACTCAGATGTAGGGAATAAATACTAAAGGACAGACAGCATGCTTCTGATTCTGGTTTTTATCCTTTCGATAAATGTTTCTATATTAGTAGAAGTAAGATGTAATTAAATACTTTCTTTTGTTGTATGACCGTTTTATTCGCTCTTAGCCATAACACAAAAACTACACTCATTCTCCTAACAAGCTGGCTAAGACAGTTAGTTTAGTAAGCTAACCTGTATTTCCTTTTCGTTTATGCAATGTCTAAAGATGCTCTTCTCTTCAATAATTGAAAATGGTTTCATTGTTTATACAGAGAACAATGTACACCAACTTTCGTCTTGTCGAGGAGTCAAAAGTACGATCTCTTTGCTGCGAAGGATGAGTGATACAGTAAAAAAAATCTTTATTTAACAGTTAGTCTGGGTATGACATAAAATCAAAGGGAAAAATCAAACTAACTCTACAGTATAGAGAAAACATTGATATGAAGAAATGTTCAAAAACATAAGCAGCCAAAGTGTGTATATTATTCAATCATTATAACGATACCTAAAGCGGACTAAAGATCCTAGGAGACAAGTGTTATATAAGACAACGAAATACGAATACCATTTCTACGACATTTTATTGATTTATAGTAACGTTTATTGTAAAATATCTGATTCATTTATAACAATTTGGGAAACTGCATAGATTTATTATAAAGTGATTTATATCCTATAAAAGTATTATGTTTGAACTGCGTTGCAAATGATCTATTTGAAGAAATGAAACAAAAACTTTGATCTCCTCCTAAGTATGGTAGTGGGATTAGTAGGTATTATTAAATTCACATCTTCTGTATATTTACTTACTACCCAGATTTGTTTAGTCTTCCATCTACTCAATTAATCTGGAGGATAGTGTAGAAATTGTTCAAATTGTGAAACAAGCATGCAATTTGGTAGACAGGCAGCACTAACATGCTTCTTCGTACAAGGAGCAGAAGACACTTAATCTGATAATGTTCATAGATTCTATTAAAAATGTGCACAAAATTGTAACAAATGGCAATTGAAGCAGACAATTCATTACAAAAAAAAGATAGCAGCTCTAAACCATTTAGTTATCTTTCTGTAGCATAACCCTCCATAAGTACAAGAGTCGGTACATGGAATGGAAGCATTAAAGCATTTATATCTTTTTCCAAATGTGTTCAGTTAATGTACAGAATAAATTTACCTGTACCACTTCAAGGTTGAAA